TCGTATTTTGATGTAAGTGCATACAAACGTATTATTAAGATGAGTGCTTAAATTTAAAATGGAAAGTAAAACAAAAAATGCTATTGTATAAATTTCTTTTTTTGAATTTGATAGGCTATTTGCGTCCCTGCATAGTATTGCATAAAGCCAGATAATCGTATATGTGTAATTTTAAAATTTAAATTTTACGAGTTTAGCATTCCAAAAAATCAACGATCTAATTCGAAAAGATTACTTCACAATTATTCACAGGTTTTATTTATTATATCATTTTAGCAATGAATTTATTGCAATTAGAAAAAAGCCCATTATTGTTAAGTGCTTTTGTCTTTTTTCATATCCAATAAAAATAGTTTTTTTTTATGATTTTGCGAAATAAAAGTGTATATAAATCAAACAAAATGGATAACCTAACCCTAATGATATTGTCCAGAATTACTTTGTCTGTAAAATGAGCTTCGGTGAAATAAACTGTTGGTGAAATAAACTTGTTAGTAAGTAATTGTCAGTGAAATGTGGTGTCTATGAAGTGATTGTCGGTGAATTGATTGGATCTCAAACAAATCGCACCAAATCGCACCAAATCGCATAATTCTATATTATTTATATTATTTCAATGTCAGATAGAGGCATTCATTTTAAATTATGCTCTCAGCTTAATTCGACTTATATAATTTACTATTATAAAAACCGATTAATAGTAGAGTCGAATGAAATAATAGCATAATAGTAATTTTTAGTATATGCTAAAGTGCAAAATAAATTAATATATCTGATATATTTAGGGATCATCTAAAGCCAGTAATTTCTATGCCCTCACATGACTTTTACATTACAAATTTATTATTAATCAACTTAAAAACTACCTGGCTTTAGACGATCCCTATATTTAGTAATACTGTAAAATGCGAGTATGCTAAAGTGTAAAAAAAAAACTATTAAAACCTAAAATAAATACAATCATCTTTAGGAAAAAAAATTTATTATAAACGATCTATAGAGAAAGAAAAGGTGGTTAAAGCACGAAAAATAGCCGAAATTGGATTCACGAACAAGCACGATAAATTTCTTGTAGAAAAAAAGAACCAGGTAATGATTTCTGATCAAGACCAGGAGCTGGAAGCACCTGATATCACGGAGCCAGAGATAATCGAAATCTCAAAACCAGAGATAGTCAAGATCCTAGAGCCAGAGGTAACTAAAATTATGGAATCAGAGGTAATCGAGATCATGGATGATTGAAAAAAATCAAATTTTGACCAATAATTATTGGTCGAAGTTAATAAGTTTTTTTTTACATAAGTAACACACTAATTTCATATAATTTTTTTCGCTTGAATGTGCCTTTGTGATAGCTTGTTGATATTTAGTTATAGTATATAATTTTAAACTTTATAAAAATGTATACTTATGAATACAAATCAGAATTTATGTCTATATATTCATATAGTATATTAACTAACAAAACGTTAAAAAAATGTTGAGAATCAGGTAAATTTAGAGTATTACTTCAAGCAATTGCGAATGTAGTTGTATGTAATTTCAATCTTTACCTGTAATTTTTCACACGCCATCTAACCAAGTTATTGAATATTAAACAACCATTCAAAAGGAATCCATCAATCACTTCATATTTGTTGCTTTAAGTTGAAATGCTTTAATACAATTACCAATTTCTTGTTTTCACTTGTTCATCTGTGAGCTATTCTTAGAGGATCACATAGCTGACATCAAGTAGAAGTGTTAAATTGGCTTCATTAGTACAGACTTTAGATATATTTTTTATGACTAAATACATCAAAAACTATCATATAACTTACACATTAGTCTAATATTCAGATTTTGTTAACTCTTGATGGGAAAACCTCTTGAAATAATAATCGCTAAAGACTTTCCTATATTTTTTTATTTTTTTATTTTTTGGAGAAAGTGTATTACTATTAGTTTCCTTTCCGCCTTTAAATTCAAGGCTATTCTGTTCTAAATTTAAGTAAAACCTTAAAACTTTTGAATTCATAAATATTAGCGAAAAAAATAAAATAGATGGGACTTTCTAAATGCAGGTACGTACGTATGTAAATTTTTGTTAAGGATCGTTTTATACAAGAAAACAGGACTTCTTACTAAGTAAACTGGACCTCATTTACTAAACAAAGTTATTCGAAATTCCACCTTTTACATACTCTCAAATTTTAGCGCAATACGAATAACCTTTTATTAATAGGTTTTTTCGTTATATGTTTTGGCGCAGAAAATTAATTTACCTATTAATAAAAGGTTATTTGTATTGCGCCAAAATTTGAGAGTATGTAAAAGGTGGAATTTCAAATAACTTTGTTTAGTAAATGAGGTTCGGTTTATTTATATCCACATTCGTCAAATATCTGCATTTACCTTATAGCAAAATTAAACAAATATTTTTTTTGAAAATTTTATAAGGATCAATATTGATTCACATCACATGACCAGAATTTTCTTTGCCATGGCTACTCCATTCATTCTTCACTACTACCACATATGAAAGACCGGGTCTTTTTATTTTAGTCAGTGCTACAGTATATCCTTTATTCTTTCTGTTATGTCTATGACTAACTATTTTATCTAGAGATAAATAAGGTTTGCTTATTTGTAATTTGCTCTAATAAACACCATTGAATCTAAATGAATTTTATAGATTTTTAGCTTTTTTTCTCAATGAATAATAAAATTAATAATTTGAATGTGAGAATATAGTTAAGTTATATGACGTATGGTTGTTTTGTTTGGTCCAATCAAGATATTGATATACATTCTTAAACTAGTTTTTAGTACGCGTATATTGTTTCTTATATAATATGTGCTGACACTTTTTTTTTGCCTAGTTCGTTTGAGATATTAATATTATATTCTAAACTGGTTTTAGTGCGTGTGCTAGAAGATAGAGCGTGATATTGTTTCTTTATAAAGGTTATATAATGTGCGCCAACTCTTTTTTTTTGCCTAGTTCGTTTGAGATATCAATATAACATTCTAAACTGGTTTTAGCGCATGTGCTAGAAGATAGAGCGTAATATTGTTTCTTCATGAAGATTATATAATGTGTGCCGACTCTTTTTTTTTTGTCTAGTTCGTTTGAGATATTAATATAATATTCTAAACTGGTTTTAGCGCGTGTGCTAGAAGATAGAGCATGATATTGTTTCTTTATAAAGGTTATATAATGTGCGTCAACTCTTTTTTTTTGTCTAGTTCGTTTGAGATATTCATATTACATTCTAAACTGGCTTTAGCGCGTGTGCTAGAAGATATAATGTGCGCTGACTCTTTTTTTTTGTCTTGTTCATTTGAGATATTGATATACATCCTAAACTGGTTTTAGTACATGTGCTAGAAGATAGAGCGTGTATATTGTTTCTCTGTAAAAGTCATTAATTGTCAGTTTATGTATCGCAAAAATTTGTGCTCTAAATAATATAAAAAAAGATTAATAATTTCTTTTATTCCCAAAATTTTTTTTAAAAATCACTCGTAACTAATTGTCTTAACAAATCTTCAAATCTAAAGATTAGTAATTAACTTCACGGTTGCGAACAAAATGGTTAAAACACGAGAAGTACTAACTCAGTCTATTCTCACAAATAAAATCATTCAATTGAATAAAGAGCTACGGCAGCTTAATGCCTTGGAAAATAGAGGAATGAATACCAATGCTGATAGTGAAAACAAAAAAAAAATTCAAGCTGAATTAGAATCATCATTAAAAAGATTAAATAAATTAGAATATCAACAGAAGTATTATTAAAAATATAGAAATCAGCAAAAACAAAAACTCCAACAAGTAGAAAGGCAATATAAAGAAGTGAGTCTTAACATGCAGCTCATTAGGCCAACAATCGGTTGTCTGTGTTTAAAAGAAACACAACTAGACCTATTAGAAAGCATTCTTTGCATTGTCTCTCCGGATGGGCAGGCAGATGAGAGATGACGTTCAAAGACATTATGATCTGTCAAGACCTTGAATCAACTCCAAGAAGCACTGGCACAAATGAATTATAAACTATCACGTTCTGCCGCATACCTTAGACTTATTCCAAAATGGCATAATACTGAAGAAGGAAAACGGCATGTTAAAACTGTGCCAGTGAAGCTTCTAAGAGCACAGAATATATTAAGAAGGGCGCATGAAGATACCCGATTCTGTGCTGCTTTGATAAGAAATATCAAAGAAATAGTATCATTATTGGGACCCAAAAATGTTTTAGTAGTATCCCAAGATGATAAAGCGCGAATACCTCTTGGTTTAGCTGCGGCAAATAAACAAGGTTGTAATAAATTAATTTTATATAAACTAATTTTTAAAAAAAGCAAAATTTACTAACAATGAATAATTTACTTATATAGCACCAATTCTTATAAGGTTAGAATACTGAGTGAAGCTTCCAGATCAACTGAGTTGTTGCTAAAAGGCATAAACTGATTCCATCAGTTTATGCAATATTAAATGTGAAGGGAGGTAAGTATAGACATGCTGAAGCAGTAACTTATTCAGGTCCAACATTTATAAGGGTCCGTAGTAGTAAACATGATAGCAGTACTGCCTACTTACACAGTAAAGACTTTGATGAACTGATGGTTAAGGGGAAATTACATGATTATACTAAAATGGATGGCCAGCCTAAACCCGTGGTGGTAATGATAACTGATGGTGGACCCAATGAGAACCTATGCTATAAAAAAACGATTCAAATGATGATAGAACATTTTATTAAGTATGAACTTGATACCATTATCGTGGCATGCTTCGCATCACATCAGAGTGCATCCAATCTGGTCAAAAGACGAATGGCGCCCTTAAGCTATGACTTAGCTGGTATGATTTTCCCACATGATACCTTTGGATCGCATTTGGATATACAGTTAAGAACAGTTAATGAAGAATTAGAAAAACGTAATTTCAAAGCAGCCGAAGATGTTTTGACATCAGTGTGGAAAGATACAATTATTGATGGCTATCCGGTTCTTGCTAAGTACGTAAATCCTTCTGAAGAATCCTACTACCTGAGGGAAAAATCAGCAACTTGGATAGAAAATCATGTAATGACTTGCCGTTATATGACTCAAGTCACAAAGTGTAATGATCCAAGTTGTTGTAAACCTTTCCGAAGTGAGATCCAGCAGATTCTTCTGAATCGATTTTCTCACCACTATTCCTTACCTAACAGAAACCTCATGGTATTTGCATAGCAAGCATGAGTATATCCAATAATACAACTCACTTTAGCAGCTTTCTTCTCTCTGTATTAATGGAAGGAAAGTTAATTCCTCCAGACACGAATCTACAGTATCTTCCTTTCGATTGGTATTGTCCAACTGTAAATAAGTCAATCAATGAATATCTCTGCTCTTATTGTAAACAGTATTTCGCTTTAAAAAGAGCTTTGAAATACCATACTCAAGGATGTCCACATAAGCAATCAAATTTACTTGTAGATAGGGTGAGTAACATGAAGGTCACGAGCATGCTACCATGGCATGCCCGAATTCCGAATTGTCTATAGGCATGCTATTTATATAAGAAGAACCAATTCACATGATAATAAACTAATCAAAATTTGAATTTCGAAAAATTAGAATTTTAGCTTCACGTAATGCTAATGCTAACAAACTCACGTTTAATCTTCTTTCTCTATTAGCATCAAACAAGCGTAAATTACATCAAACTTTTGGATCTATGTCTTATATGATATTACTAGTTCTAGTCGGTGATTTTGGATTTTACTCAGATTATATAATCACTAAAAGCTTGACTATGATGTACGTATTTAACTCTTACTAAAATATCATGCAAGTCCAGATTACAAGTTTACTGATTTATTAATTTATGCTTTAGGTCTTATACATATTTACTCTTTCTTATACTTTGATGAATTTATTACTAAGCATTTTTTTTTTACCTTTTCAAATTTGAATTCTAATGGATTACTTTATTTGAGATTCGAATTCACTTTTTTAAAAATTTTTATTAATTTTTATCAAAGCAATGTAATATGCCAAAATAAAAAAAAAACTTATATAGATTTGTAAATTTATAATGCAGCATTATATTGGAAAAAGATATCGTCAACTGACCAATCTTCGTTAGTACTGCTGGTAGATCTTTGAGGATTAACAACTGAATCCTCTTCAATCATATCTTCTCGATTTTGTTTAAGCATTCTAATACTAAAGAATTGTTCTATTGCTAGTTCATTTCTCACTTCCATATTTGCTGCCTCAACATTTATTTGCAAAAATTCTTCATTAAATTCATTCTCAAAGATATTAACATCAGCGCCTTCACTATTTATAGAGTTTTCAAATAAATGCTGATCATTTACTTTAGTTTTTTTTTTTTTTTGTATTTTAGGTAGTTTTTGTTAAAGATCATGATGAAGCATCACAAGCATTCCCGTTAAAACAGGTGACATCCTGTTTCGTAACTTAGTTTTTACTAGTCCCAAACTAGAAAACAAACGTTCAACGGATGCTGAATATGGAATAATTGCAAATATCTTCATAGCAAAACGCCAAAGAAGAAGTAAACCTCCTGTAAACTTGGTCCAGAAAATTTTGGAATTAATATTTTCAGGATACTGATTTTCAAAAGGAACATCACCATTCTTATAACTGATAAGTTCTTTAAACAAAAGCGTTGCTTCTTTTGATCAAATCCCCAGGCTTTTGCTAACTCCAAAGATGCTCTAACGATTAAATCTCCCAACATTTGTCCTGACACTGCTATTTATTTGTGGCTAGGTGATAAAAAAAATAAAACAAAATAGATGCCATCAGAAAATTCACACATCCATTTATCAAGAGCTGCCAAGGTATGATTTCTAAATCCTTCAATTGAAATATTTTCTGTAGAAATGATGCAATGAATATTTATAAGTTTTTTAAAGATATCTGCTAAGGTGGCATCTCTTAATTCAAGACGACCGATAGCATCAATGACAGGGACAAGTGCTTTTATTAAAGTGTCGTTGTTTGCAAAGTGGTGGCGGTTGGTAATTATGTTTTGAATTTCTGTTTTTATTGCCAGGTAGTTGTTGGTTTTATTAAGATCGATACAATGATAAAAACCTTTTTCAAAGGCTTTAACACCCAAGCAAACTTTTGCGAGAGAATACCATTTAGTCTCACAAAATGTTGTGAGTGAATGATGCAATCCTTCTCTTTTCTGCCATTCTTGTAAGGTACAAAGCCAGAGGTAAGATGATGTAAAAAATTTAACTAGCTTTTGGTTATCTTTAATAACTATAAGTAAGGGCGAAAAGAAAGAAATGTCTTTGGCGAGTAGATTAAAAGCATGTAGACAACAATAGATAGGGATAATATTTGGGTGATCTTCTTTAAGATTAATTTTCATTCAATTTATAATGGCAGGATTATCAGTTACACATGCAATAATTGCCGAATTAACAGAAATTGAGCTTGAGCTAAGTATTTTTTCAAGCTGCTCTTTAAGAAAAATTGCTGTATATCAGTTGGCAGATAAATCAACAATGCCTAAAACATATTCTTGATCCTCTTTCAAAGCTATAAAACCATATATAGAATTTCTGGATATATCTTGCTATCTGTCTAAAGCTATAATAATATTGGCAAGAGATTCCATTACTTCTAATTTTTTGCTAAAGTAAATTGAAAACGAATTTTTGAGAACCTTTACGTGCAACATATTAGCCGAGGAAGGATTATAGTTTGGTGCCAACTCATTAAAGAATTCAAGGAAATAGGAATTTTCAATAACCTTAAAAAAAAGATTACTATAGATAATGGCATCAAGCAACTTTTTATTTGTTTTAGCTTGCTTATCCTGTGAAAACAGTTTTATATACCAATTTGTTAAATTTTTCTGACGTTTTACTATTGAAGAGGATGAACCGTCAGTGTCGCTACAAAAGTTTTTAGGTTTAGTAAAAAAAAAAAATAAAATAAAAAATAAAAAAAATGCTATTATATACATAAGTGATTTCTGATCAGAAATTAAATTCTTTTTAACTTTTTTATAAGCATTAGGTTTAAGACTTGTTACTTTCTTAATATAAGAGTTTTTCACTGTTACAGGCCAACTATCACATGTGAGAACATGAGTATAAAGTTTTTCAGGTCTGCCAAGTAGTTCAAAATTGCAGTAAGTACATTTAGCAGTATATCTATTGCCAGCTTCCTTTTCTAAAGAATGCCAAAACCTTGTCCAGTAGTGATCATGAAGCTTCATATCAGGGCAAGTAAAACCAGGTAGGAGTTGAGTGGTTTCACTTGTATTATCAACTGTGAGTTCACCTGTTTCAGGACTGATATATAATTGCATAATGCAGGTTTGAATCTTTCGTGAATAAGTAATTTAAAAACTTTTAATTAAATTTAATTCTATATAATCTAAAGCAAATAAAGGCTGATGATTTGGTGAGTTTAAGTTTTTTTTTTTTTTGAAATTCACATGGTTAACTAACAATTTTTATTTATGATATTGGGATCTTGAACAATGTTAAGGTAAATCTTATTAAGTTATTTTTTAATCTGATAATAATTCATCTTTATTAATTTTTTAAAATGATTTATATATTTTTTTTTCAACATATCATTGAAAATTCCATCGCTTTTCACCTATTCTAATTCTATTCAAATCTTTGAGGCTCTGATATCATAATGGAAGTTCAGCCTAATGATTAAATATATTGTAATATTTATTCGCGGTATAGATTAATTTTTTTTACCCAATACTATGGAATATCCTTAATGGCTCAATTTTAAAGCCAGTTCTAGCCAGAAATTGAAGCTAATTAGATTTAGACCAGATCTATAGCTTTGAGCTGTGGCTCAAACAGGATATTATTTTTTAAATTTTCTTTAGCTATACCATGGAATGGTTCAATTGAAGCCATGGTTAGATGTTGGTTAGGTCCGGACCGGATCTTTAGCCTTAAGCGTGGTCTAAAGTTAAGGCTCAATTTTTAAGCCCTAATTAACTTTAGTTCATAGCTAAAGTGCGAATAGCACAATTTAAAATTATAATTAGAAGTTGGTTAGGTCTGGACCGGATTTGTAACCTTAAGCATGGCCTAAAGTAAAAGCTTAACTTCTTAAGTCTAATTAGCTTCAGTTCGCAACTAAAATGTGAATAGTAAATATATATTTATCAAGGTAATGGCTTAAGCATGTATTTTGTCAAAAAAAAAGCCTTCCATTTATATTAAACTATAATAAAATTAATTTGGATAAAGAGAATTTATATGCAAAGATTTTTATTTTAAAAAATAATATATTTGCACTTGTTTTTTTTTATTTATACTTTAATACACTGTAGAAATTTTATCTATTCAATAGCAGCTTGTATATTTAATTATTATAATAAGGTAGCTGCGCAATGCAGTTACGCTAAAACCAGGAACGGGAGAATTCTGATAAATTGTTTATTCACCAACTCATCGAATAGTTTAGGTTTTTATTATA